TGGCTTTTTTGCTATATTTATTTTTTGCTTGTTTTAAGTTTGTATGCCAATTGCACAATTACAAACTGCTGGGCCATTCTTAGGGAGACCTTCTCACCTCCTAGCTACAGGCAAGCACAGTGTGGTGTTCAAAGTTTATGGCAATAATCATGCAAAAATATTATTTATTAAATGATGGTGCAGATATATAAAGGTAAAAAAAGTATGCCTGCATACCTTGACATGACTAATAAATTCATGGAAATCCAACCTCTTACCACACTTACCTAGAAATATATGGCTATTCATTCTTCCCCAATATTACCACCACCACCTTAAGGTCATGGTGCTACCAATGCTTCTTCTAAGACCGCATAGTTAATACCATGGAACCTCCTACCATAGGTTTTAAGTAATAGATTTTAATAGCTCTGAAAAGAGGACAAGACCATAGCCTGGAAAACTCAGGACTAGACCACAGTTTGGGAAAGTCTATAGCTTCCAGAATTCCTCAGCCAAAATGGCCAGTGAATACACTAGCTTGAGGATTCTGGGAACTCAAGTCCTAAAAAAATAACTTTTCCACATCCTGGATTTAATAATAATAATAATTTATTGTCATTGTAAGTATATACACATACAACGAAATTCGCTGACACCCAGAGACCAGACACATGCACACACATAAAATTCCCAAACACTCCCCACCCACTAAAAAAATTGAATAGGGAGTCTTTAAAACGCCACGTGGGTTTGTCTCGCATTCTACTACCTTGTTGCACCTCTACTCTATTCCTTGCTCTAGGGCGTCTGCTCGTCCTTACCCGGACTTCCCTCAATGGGGGTGGGAAAACGGCCAAAGAACGCCATTTCCCAGGGTGCTCTTCGAGCAGTTTCCGGAAGGCGTCCAAGGCCGCGCGCCCACCCCTTTCCGTGAGGACTGCTTTTCAAGGACTGCGTTTCCCATGAGGTCTCGGGAGGGAATAGGAAGCGGAGCCTTTCCGGCGAGGGCGGAAGAGGCTGCTGGGAAGGCGAGGCGGAAGCAGCGGCAGCAGCAGCAGCAGCAGGAGCGGCGCCTCCTCCTCCTCCTCCTCCTCCTCCAGTGAGGGGGGGCGGCCTCCTCTCCTCTCCTCTCCTCCCAGCTCCCCGCCCCCCTTTCCTGGCCGCCGCCCTCCCGGCCGGCTTCGCTCGCCATGTCCGCCCTGGAGAAGCAGCTGCAGCTGGGCCGCCTGCCCCCTCGCCCTCCGGGCCCCGCGGGGGGAAGCGGGCAGGGCCCCCCCAAGATGCGCATGGGGTAAGA